TAAACACTTCTATAGTACTAAAATATCTGACTTCCAAATTATCAGACTCAAAATATATAAATAGGTTATATAATATCCTTTCTTAAAGTTATATAAATTTAATCGGTTTTCAAGTGCAAATTGCAGATTATTCCTATCATTTCAAATGGTTAGTTATTTCTGAAATCAAATATAATTATAAAGGCCTGTAATGGCATTTTTAAAAATATTTAACTTTTAGTTATAGTTGGACACAATACCTTTATTTTATTTATTTATTTTCATGTGGTGCTGAGGATTGAACCCAGGGTCTCACTTATACTAGGCAAGCACTGGACCGCTGAGCCACAACCCCAGCCCTGTAATGGCATTTTAAGTGACAAAACTTCATTGATTGCCTTGGGATAGAAAATGAGGACCTTGACTTCAATGAGTTCTGTCATGACAGGGTCAATGTGAGGGAGAGTGTTTGGGGAAGGGAAAGCTTAAACCCAGAAAAACATCTTAGTCTATAGAAAACACTGTTTACTGACAACTCTAAGGAGAAGAAAAAGGGAGGAATAAGCAGAATTAAAGCAACCACAAAAGAGAGAAACAGAAAATTTTGAATGTTAATACTACAGAGTTCCTAATACTGGCATCATACTAAAAAATAAAACAAAGGACATGGTTCCTAATGACTTTCCTGGCAATTATGTGTCATTGGTAGCATCTGCAATGGAAGGGGGAGCCCAGGTACTCATGAAACCTAGTGAAAGGGGAGTTCCCCAGGCAAAAAATGCCATATTTTATGATTCCATTTATATGATATATCGATAAAGGGTAAATCCATGGAGACAAAAAGCACATTGGTCATTTCCAGAGAGTAGGGAAAAGGGGGACTGCTTAATGAGCATGGAGTTTCTTTTTGGTGCAATAACAATATTTTAGGACAAGGCAGAGGTGGTAGCTATATAACATGGAAAATGTATTAAATGTTGCTGTACTGTATACTTTAAAGTGGTTAATTTTATGTTATAGGAATTTACCCTAATTAAAAAAAAAAATAAAGGAAGGTGAGAGACAGGTCAGGAAGGAAGGAAAAAGGAGGGGTGGAGAGGGAGGGGAAAGGAGTACCTAAGGAAAAGAGGGTCAGGGTTTCTAGTAGGGTCCTGCTACCCTATTGTCTTGGGGTCCTTCTGCTCAAGCCCCAGTTGAGCTCCAGTGTGTGAGGGTGATAGGCACAGAGGTGAAATGATTGAGGGGGAGGGAAAGAGCAGAAAAGGTCCAGGGAAGGAGAATGGCCGTAAGCAGTTTGGAAAAGGGGAAAGTTCAGAGCTGCTGAGAAAGAGCTAGTTAGTGTTCACAGCACACTGGACCGTTGAGACATGAAGGCTCAGATATGCTGAAGCTGAAGATGAAGGGAGTGGAAAGGCAACCAGCAGAGATATCATGAGAGAATCCTTGGAAGGGGCTGAGAACAGGTCCCTAAAATTCCTCCATACAAAGTAAAAGTGGGCAAATTAGGAGACAACATACTATGTCAATGTCTTATAAAAATAAACGCAAAGCCACTAAGGAATACAAGAGGAGAGAGAGCGCACATAAGTGTGTGCACACACTAAGTAAATAAATAAGTAAGTAAATAAATGTTAGGGTAGAAAATTCCTTGCTGGCTCCTAAGAAATCTTACTGTTAGGGGCTTTTTTCCCCATTTCTTTTTTCTTTCTGTGGTACTAAAAATGGAACCCAGGGCTTCATATAGGCTAAGTGCTATACCACTGAGCTACATCACTTAGCACTTCATGCTTTATAGAACTTTCTGGTCTGCTTAGAATCACTGCCCAATTTTGGGTCTTTCTGTTAAGGCTCAGGATCACCACCTCTGAGTAACAGCCAATTGATTAGCATTTTCAAGAGTAGGGGTCTATTTATAGCTTTTCTTACCATTGGTTAGCAAAAGTGAATGGCAGAATATCACAGTTCATGCATGATTGTTTACTAAATGCCTCTCTTCTCTGGGCTTGATCTGGCTTCCCAAGTCATTGGGGCACAGACTCTACCCTCTAGAGGTACTGGGAGCACAATGGGGTTACTTCTGTATTGTAAGAGGGGCTGGGAGATAAGATGGTTCCCTCTCTGTAGGGAGAAGTAGGGAAAGCTTGTACTCATGAAAGAATGGCCTGTGATCAAGTCCCAATTCCACAAGTCTCTGCTAGACTTATGACTAGACTTTTGACTTTACTATTCTGGGTCTCAGTGGCCTTACCTGTAAAGTGGGGATGACATCTACCTGAAAGGTTATTGTGCCACAAGTAAGGTAATCTATGTAACACACCCAAGCAGCTTTCAGCTGTGATAGATGCTTCATATAGGACACGTGTTTTTAACTGAGGACAAATATGTGAGGTATGAGGAGGGCGTTCTGGCCAGACAGAGTGAAATGGGGACAGAAGCCAGAGAAAGCATAGCTCCTTGGGGGAGGAAGTAGAAAGTAGAGCTTGGTGAAGTGGAGGATATATAATAGGGGTGCTGAACAGAGGCTGGGAACCCATCTTGCCAGGGAAAAGATACTTACTACCTGCAAAGGACCTGGGCTTGACCCCGTGAGTAGGAGAGCAGCACATGAAAATACCCACTCAGTATGCCTACCACGGTTGCCACTAAGTGTTCTTGAACACTTTAAACTTACAAAATTCATAAACAGCACCTTTTCACTCTTGGACACTGGCCCTCTTTAATCAACTCACATTATCTCTCTTAGATTGCTTGGCCAATGGAATGTAAAATGTTTAATGAACTTACAAGTTTCTCAACAAGTATCTGCTGAGTGAATGTTTATTCTAGACTGCATGAGGACAAGTGGAAGTTATAGTTTTAGTTGGTCAATGAGATGAGATACCCACAAAGTGACAAGGGAATGCCAAAAAAAAACCACTGCAGAAAAGCTCAGATTGGTGGGCAAGGCCAGTCCTGGAAGGGTTTTACAGTCCTTCTCAACACATACAGCTGATGATCATGAGCAATAAGCTGGCAACCCAGCTGTGGCTTATCAAGGGCCAGGGAGGAATTGCTGGCTGGTGGGAGAGGTCCCTGTACCACTATTTTATGACAGACACTTTTAGAACTGCCAGTTCACAGTGATAATATAAGAAGCAGACCTATTTTTGTTTGATTTTATTAGTGACTTTAAACTCTCTAAAGACAAAGTCCCACTTACTGCCTAAACTCAGCATGGGAAGACCATTCCAATACCTCTCTTTCCCATTTGGCAAGGCACTGTCTCTGGGAATAAGCAAAAGGGGATAAGCCCCTATCTTATTTTTTTTTGTGAGGGTGAAGTGAAACAAGCTAAGAGGAAATTCCTCTTGGCCCAGGGTTTGATATTGACTTGAAACATACTCCTTTTTTCCTTCTATCTGGCTTTCTTTTCGCCCTCCCTAAATGGTTCCACAATCCAGTGTGGATAAATTAGCCAATGTTTAGTCAGTTTCCATCTGTAGCAGTGCTGTCTCTTAGTACGCTACCATCCCTTCCAGGAAAATGTAAAAAAAGTGGGTCAGAAACTGGCAGCTTTTAACTTCATGTCCTAAAAGGGACCAAAAATCTCACTGGGGGACTACTGTGAACAAGGGTGGTTACTGTGGATATGGCACTTGTGTATCCCTGTACTTTGCCCCAAATCTCAAACAAAAATTTATACTGTCAAGAGCTTGTCCCAAAATAAAGTTGAGCAAATCACACAATGTTATGTGTAATCATAGATCACCACAATTTTTCAGGAGTTCTCCATGCTTCACCCACATTGGTGGTAATGTTCATATTTTCCACAAGCAGAATGGCTAGTTGCTGCTAAACTTTGAGCTCTTAAGTTGTCCCCAAAGCATCCCCTCAAATACCCTGAACAAAGAGAGAGAGCAGAGAACATGCTATGTCTTTGTCACCTCTTAATCTTGATGTGTGGAAGGAATACAGAGTGCGCTTTCTTTCACCCGATAACAAGAAAATCCACTAGATTTTCTTCTGCATAAAAAAAAGTCCAAAGTTGCTGAAGTACTATCGCTATTAAGAAATTAAAAACATTTTTCTTACTTTCTAATTAGTTCCTTTGTAGGCTGAAAACAACTCTACTGCCTGGTTTGAAGGGAGGGAGAATAGAAAACATGTAACTAAATAAATGGACCAAGTGTATTTATTTGTTCAAGAAGACAGAATTTTAAAAATATATTCGTGGGGAACATATTCTAAGCTAGTAACCTCCTTGCAGTAGAAAATAAATTCCCGTTAGGAAAAATTGATCCCTCTGATAGTGTCAGAGGCAGCTTGGTTCTGGGAGGGGTCGATTTCCTCAACCCGGAAAGAAGGGATTACTGGTAACAAAGTCTTCCAAGCACCCTCACCAGCCAGTGGCTACAATGTTATCCCCAGTCTAGGGAACCTCCGGAATACCCCGGGGCAAGGCCTTTCTGGGGACTGTTGGTCTCGATTGTCTGCTAAAAGTGCCTAGGGCTTTCTTTACAAGACTCCCCCTACCCACCCACCCCCAACCTCGCGCTCCCTACCCGGCCAACCCTAGAACAAGGTGCAAGAAAAAAGAATTCCAACAAAGCAAAACTCCAGCGGGAGCGGTTCTCCACTTTACAAAGAAACTGAAACGTTTATTGTTGGAGCGACGCGAGACCCTTTGTTTTGGGGGGTGGTCTTGAGAGAAACAGGCCTCACAATGACAGCAAATGCAATGCTCCAGGAGAACCGGCCCCCTCTTTCCTATCCAACACCCCGCGGCAGACTGCTCAAAAATCAAGTCCAAAGGGGCATTGGCGGAGCCCAGAATGGGGTTTGCTGGGGTGGCACGTCCCACCTAGATATCACTAGGGGAGACTCCGGATCTCAGCCTAAATGCCAGTTTGGTTTCTGAAGGAAACTGAGGCAGGGGTGCTGCCAGGGACAACCCCTGAAGGAACAGGGGCAATTCTTACCAAGGTAGCCCGCATCAGCGTCCCTCCATCTCCTGCCCGATCCACTCTCCCTGCTGATCTCACCTGGCTTGCGGCCTCGGATGCGGGCCGACAGCAGGGGGCCGCACAGACTGAGGCCGGCGGCGACCAGCAGCAGCCGCCGCGGCCCCATTGTCCCGAGGCTGGCGCGGCTCCGCGCGGTGCTGCTCCTGGAAGTTGCCTCGCTGCGGGCGGTTTGGCTCAGCTCCGCTCGGCCCTCTCGCTTTTCTTCTGGACGAGTGGAGCTGCGGGTTGGTGCCGGAGGGCAGAAGACTTCCTGAGGCAAAAAGAAGAGAGAGACTTGGGCGTCCTCGGAGGGCGGTGTGTCTGGCTGCAGCTGGGAGAGCGCAGGGCGGGCGCTGACGGAGATGGGGGCGGGACCCGGCGCGCGGCGCGAACTGAGCTATTCCAGAGTGGCGCCCCCCGGCGCGCATCGTGAGCCTCCTAGCTGTCGCCCACTCCAGCTGCAGGGAACCTCCGCCACCCCAGTCAACCCTTCCAGCACTGTGCACCACAGCCCCGCGCGCTTTTTCGCGGGCCCGGGCCGTGCCACTGCCAGGCTGGGGAGACCAAAAGTCACGGTCTCCTCTGGGCGCCGTTGCCCTGAGAGGCTGTCAATGGCTCAGAATGGCGGGGTCCTGGGGCGACCCGTGCAGCTCGTAGGCTGCTCCCTTGGCCTGTCAGAAACCTCCCGACCACGCCGACTGGGACCGTGGTGTCTAGGATGCCCCCAAGGATCGCGGCCTCCGCGGTCCCGGCCAAAACTTTCCTTCCTCGCTCTGGGCATGAAACCTTGTGCCAAGCGCTGTGGCCGCTTTGGGCAGTTTGGTATCTAGCTAAAACCTCGGGAGTTGTTTCTGTTTCTGTAATTTAGGGATAATGGATTTAAAAGTTTATAGTGTAGTCACAGGAGTGTCCCCAAATGTTTGGACAGAATTCGTGACATGTAAACTTCTTTTCTCTTTATTTCACGGCATTAGACATTTTATAGTCCGATGCTTGTTCTTTCACAGACACGCTGCCTACTGCGGCCGTCCGATCTAACCAACTCATACCCAAGCGCAGCTTCGCCTTCCTTCCTCCCGCAAGACTGCAATTTCTGCCTTCCTCTCTGGACAGGTGCTCTCCCACTGCCCCCTGGATGCCCACCTTCGGGGATGCCATGGGCACCGGGTGGTGCTCTGGCACCTCCACGGTGAGAGATGTCCACAGGGCGAAGCGCCCTGGAAACTTTTTTTTTTTTTTTAAAGAATCCTTCTTGAATGCTATTATGACTTGGGATAATTCACATCTTGGAGCAGGAGACACTCAGCAACTCTCTAAGAGATCTTTAGGGGACTTGGATTATGAGGCTCAGAAGGGAGGAGCACTCAGTTTATTTTGCTTAGAGTCTGATGAGCGCGACTTTTAGACCGCAACAGGAAGTGGGTACCCCAAAGAGGCTGTTTCTAGGAAAGTTCAGCCGCAACCCTGGGCCTCTCACCCCAGGGCACTGATGGCTGCAGTTCAAAGTCATTGGTCAGGGTCCTAAGGCTTTTTATAAAGGGAGTTTTGCATGAAGATAGTGTCATTCCTCAACTAGATCCCTGACACTTTAACCAACGGAGAAAATAGGAGCAGAGACCATCTTCTCCCCTATATTCCTCCATCATCCTCACAGCACAGTGCCTTGTTGTACACAGAAGTTGCTCAATAAGTTATGGAGTTACCCAGTTAATTAATACTATTTAAGATCTTCCCTGATTCAAGCACTCAGGAAAACATATCCAAAAAAAAAAAAAAAAAAAAAAAAGGTGTGAGCCATCAAAATTGTATATTTGTGCACCCACTATTGTGTTGTTTTTTTTCACTATTAACTTTAAGATTCATTGTTTTAACTTATGATCACAAGCAGGCAAAGAATACTGCCAATTAACCTGGGACATACCATTCATTTTAAGAAATACTCCAATTTCAGCATAGTTAGACATAAGAGGGCATTTTAGAATCAAGGAAATACAGTGTCAAGTATCAAAGTAATAAAATGTGATATTTCTGACACTTCAAGTATATAAAATAGAAAGTCCAATAGTCAACCCTCATCTATGGAAAATGTGTTCCAAGATCCCGGATGGATGTCTATAATCTGAATAATATCAAGTCCTATATACAGTATACCACCATGCTTTTTCCCTATTTCCCCTGCAGCGTGGCCCCATAGTGCCAGAGTTAGTCTGTTCTTTTGTGTTTTGTGCCCTGATGCCTCCTTTGCCTTACTACTATTGTACTTTGGGACCATTATTAAGTAAAATGTAGATTATTGGAATGCAAGTATTGCAACACTAGAATAGTTGATCTGATAACTGAGATGACTCCCAAGTAACTAACAGGTGCATAGTGTATACAGTGTGGATATATTGGGCAAAGGGATGGATGACTCACACAACCTCAGGTGGAATGGAATGAGATTTCATCACTGTACTCAGAATAGCATTGAAATTTATAAAATGTTTATTTCTAGAATTTTCCATTTAATATTTTCAGACATGGGATGGCTGTGGGTAAATGGAACTGTAGAAAGGGAAACTATGGAGAAAGAGGGGGATTTATCTTCCACTTCTCCTCTCATAGTCTCCACGATTATTATTAATTTTTTTGTCAATCCTTAAAAGAGCAGAATAATACTATGACTACATTTTAAAATTTCCATTTAATTCATTGTTGGCAAATGTTTTCAACCATTTACAAAGCTGTGAAGCTTAAAAGGATGCTTTGAGGGTTTAGTGTTAGATCAAGATGTACCACTAGTGACAAAAAGAGAGCTCCTGAAACAATGAAATGTATAAATTGTGTGTATTAACTAGATTAAAGTGTCCCTATGAGTGGGACTGACATACAATGAACAAGGGAGAGTGGAACAGAATGAGGTATTTCTTTCTTACTTTTGTGAAAAAAGATTGTGAATTGCTTGTAGAACAGTCACCAAAAGTTGAACCTAGTTTCAAAAACAATGGTTGTAATTTTAGCATGCATAGGTATGGATTTCTGGATCCCATCCCAGATCTGTGATATTATATTCTACATTTTTGACAAGTACTCCTAGGAGATGGTGAGATCTACATGTTCCCAGACCAAAGTTTCGAGAAACATTATTCTAAGACAGTGGCGCTCAAACTTTAGCAATGGAATCTGGTGTGGTTTTGCATGTCTATAATCCTAGCTACTTGGGAGACTGAGATAGGAGGATTGCAAGTCCGAGGCCAGCCTTAGCAAAACCCCTTCTCAAAAAAGTCTAGGGATATTAGTTCAGTGGTAGAATTAATCCCCAGTACCACCACCACCATCACCACCATACCACCACCACCAACAACAACAACAACAAAAAACACCATAAAACTTCAGCATGGATCAGAATCACCTGAAAGACTTGTTCAATCACAGTGCTGGGCCCCATTTTCAGCAAGACTCCCATCTCAAAATAAAAAATAAAAAAAGGCTAGGGATTTTAGTTCAGTAGTATAGTTAATCACCAGTACCATCACCACCGCCACCAACACCAAAACCACCATAACACTTCAACATGGATAGAATCACCTGTAAGACTTGTTTAATCACAGTGCTGGACCCCATTTTCAGAAATTCTGATTCAGTAGATCTGAGAGATGTGGACTGAGAATTTTCATTTTCCCAGGTGATGATGATGATATTAGGGGTAGGAGGAACATATTGCTGAAAAAGAACTGCACAAGATTCCACCTAGTCATCCCTCAGTATTCAAAGGGGATTGGCTCCAGGACCTCCAAGGATACCAAAATCTGAGGATTCTCAAGTTCTTTATATGAAATGGCATAGATTTGCATATAAGCTACACAAAACCTTCAATATACTCTAAATGGTCTCTAGATTGATTATAAGTAATGTAATATGAATGCTATGTTAATGGCTTATATATTGTATTTTTTGAAGAACAATGAAATGAAAAAGTATCTCTGCATATTCAGTGCAGATACAATATTTTTTCCCCATATCCTCAGCTGATTGAACTCGAGAATGTGGAATTCTTGAAGGGCTGACTGTAGTTTGTTTTTGTCTTTTTTAGGGGGGGATATAGAAGATTGAACTTAGGAGCACTCGATCACTGAGCCACATCCCCAGCCCTATTTTGTATTTTATTTAGAGACAGGGTCTCACTCAGTTGCTTAGTGCCTCACTTTTGCTGAGGCTGGCCTTTAACTCATGGTCCTCCTGCCTCAGCCTCCAGAGCTGCTGGGATTACAGGCTGTTACTTTCTTTATACTACACAATATTTCAAGCATAGAAAAGTTTATCACCTACTAAAATACCCATGGGCCTATAACCTGTCAATAACACATGCATACATATACATGTTACTCTTTAAGCCATTTTTGTACATTTCTCTAATGTCATTCTCTTTCCTGACCAAAAGAATGATTTTTCATCAATATTTTTGTAATTTTAATACATTTGTGTTTATAAAAATATTATTGCTTAGCATTTTTAGATGTTTGGATATCTATACTATTTACAACATGCTCTTAGTAATTCTTCAATTGTATTTTTCTATATGCACTTGTTCATACATATATAATTCTTTTAAAGATTTATATTATTCCCATGCATGCATATACTACATTTTGTCCTTCTAAAACTATTTTATCTGTAGTTTTGCTCCCATATTTATTTCTAAATACTTATTTTTTCCCTTGATTTATCTGGCAAGAGATTGGAAGTGACTAGTTTTCAATGCTCATCTTTTTTTTTTAAATACCTTTATTTATTTTTATGTGGTGCTGAGGATTGAACCCAGCACCTTGCACATGCTAAGCAGGCATTCTACCTCTGAGCCACAACCCCAGCCCCTCAATGCTCATCTTTTTGTTTTGTTTATTTTCAGTCATTTATTTTCACATTGGTTTTGTTTATTTTTGTTTTGGTACCAGGGATTGAACTCAGGGCCACGTGACAACTGAGGCACATCCCCAGCTCTATTTTGTATTTTATTTAGAGAAAGGGTCTCACTGAGGTGCTTAGTGCTTAGCTTTTGCTGAGGCTGGCTTTGAACTCATGATCCTCCTGCCTCAGCCTCCTGAACTTTCACATAGATTTTAAAATTCTTTCCCCCTCCTTTCTTTAGGTTTATTATTTAGTCTTAAGTTTGAACTGATTGCTTAGTTTGTTAATCTGTACCTCCTCTCTCTCAAAGAAACACTTTAGCTACATTTTGCAAGTTTTGATGTGTTATTATATGGAATTTGAGATGAAACATTTTGTCAATGTCATTAAATATTCAACTCAGAAATCACTGGACAATTTTGGCTGGCTCTTTGGATTGAATTCTAATTTGGTATTATGATCTGTTGGTGATGTTTTTTCTTTTCTCTATTTTTCCTCAGACTTTATAATAAAGTTCGCATAATGTGTGTGTGCTCACTTTGGAGAAGGGTATCAGTCCCTCTACTTCTTTTGTTCCATGTCTACAGTGCCAAAACCCCTTTGTCAGTTTTAGAGTGAATTTATGTAGGCTGCCCAGAGTGGAAATTTTATCTAATTAGAGATGATAAACATGTTGAAAACCTACCTGAGCAGAGTTGATAAATAATTTCCCAGATGTGGAACTTTGTAGCATCATTCATATAGGAACCACTTGATATTAGTTCTTGGTTTTAATTTTCTGTTTTTAATTCACCTGGCACTAAATATATGAGTCATTAGGCATTCTCCCATGTTTATAGTATTTAGAATTGTTTAAAAACAAATGTGGCATCAATGTGGTGAAAGTTTTAATCCCAAAATGATACAAAAGCCATTTCTTTTAAACCATTAGATGACCTACCTGCTTTAGGTATTCTGGTTACCACACCTTTATCTAAAGTTCTCCAAAGACAACAATATATTCTAAGAACTTGCCTAGTTATTTCCTTTTCTGGAAGAAAATGGTGGTGATACTAGAGCCCATATACAAAAAAGCATGGAATACTCCATTAGGTGTGAGATACTCCAGTTCTTGGTAAAGACCTCCATATTTATTTTTTTAAGCAAACAGGAGGTTGTACTCAAATTACAAGCTAACCAGCAGGAGTCCTGTTTCTGTCTTTTGTTTTCACAAACCTGTATTAGTATTTTGAATTTAGAAGTTAATCTCTCATAATGGATCAACAAATGTACTTCCATCAATTATAACACAGAGTAAATAAACGATCATCCTTTGGGTTCAGAGTGCTAAGGAAAGGCCAAATTCAGTGTCTTTTAGAAAAAATACAAAAACCAAAACTTTAATTCTACCTAAATCAGGTAAACTCGATATCTCTTGGTTATCCTTTTGGATTTCTCTTCTAATATATTTTAGCTAGGAAATTTGATGCTCTAAGGAATACATCAGTGAGGCAATCTAGTAAATCTGTATGGTCATTTTATTTGGAGATTGAGAGGATTTTCACTGTTAGAAGTAGATAGTAAGAGCCTCTTTCATATAAGTGCCAGCCTACTGTGGTTCTGGACTCTGAAGGGGCAGTGAGATGGGGGACTTTGTCTCCTTTCCACCCCATTGCCAAACTCATGTCAGTGCCTGCCATTTATGCAGCACTGCAGGGCTCTGGACATACAGAGGAATTGAAACACCATGTCTATCCTCAGGAGCTCAGAGGATCCTGTTTTAACCTGTTACCAAGTCTGGGTTTCAGTAACATTAGAGGCATTAGTTTTGAAAAGCTAACCAGCAGTAAGACCATTCCATGCTTACAAGGTCTTTCAAAATACAGACAACTCTCACCAGAGTTCTGTGGTTTGCCGCTTGTAATGTTTGAGGAGTACCACAATCTGTACTTAACCACAGTCAAAGTCCTAAAAATCACATCATGAATGGCATCTCTAATTAGTATCCAACCACAACACACACCAACAATACTCACTCTAATTCTGTCCTTTTATGCCAATGATCATGATCACACCAGTTGGTCTCTTTTTTGGCCACTTTCAGAATAGACAGTCTTCCCTCTTTTGAAAGTCACTAGAGCATATTTACGGAAAGTAGCTAGAGTGCTGCTTCTGGCCTTTTTGCCCTTTCAAAGTTCCAGGTGCCACAGTGGAGGCTAAAAGCATGGAGCCTTCTCAACCTCCCAGATCAAAGAACACTTTAGAATAGTGGAAATGTAATCAAACATACATCAAAATGTAGGAGTCGGCATTGCAAAAAATCGTTATAGTTCTAATTGCTCAGAGACATGATTATATACATATGTTTATAAATATGCTTATAAATGTATGACTATATATTCCCCCTGCCTCCCAAACACTGGGTAAGAAACTATGAGTTCCTAGGAAAGAAGCTTGTCAGGAGCCCTGAGAAGCTCAGAGTTACAAAGGAAAAAATGTCTCCTGACTTGGGGATGGTTCAGTCCTCCTAAGAGTGGCCCAAACTTTGTCTCCAACAATCTTTATAAACTTAGGTCTGACTACAGGTTAACCTCTTTTGGGAAAAACTGTTAGGTCTCTCAAGATTGGATTTGGTCTCAAGGGAGTGGTTTCTTGGGACTGGATTAGTTACTGCAGAGTGAGTTTTCATAAAGCAAGTTTACCCCCGTGCTTTGTCTCTTCTGCATTTAATACCATCTATCATGAAGATCTTACAAGAAGTCAAACAGATGTAAGTGCCAGTGCCATGCTTTTAGACTTCCAGAACTCTGAGCTTTTTTTTTTTTTTTTTTTTCCAGTACTGGGGATTGAACCTATGGGTGTTTTACAACTGAACTACATCCCCAGCCCTTTTTATTTTTTTATTTTGAAGCAGTCTTGCTAAGTTGTGTAGAGCCTCACTAAATTGTTGAGGTTGACCTCATACTTGTGATCCTCCTGTCTCAGCTTCTGGAGTTGCTGGGATTACAGTCATGCACACCATGCTTGCCAACATCTTTTCTTTATAAAGTATTCAGCCTCAGGTGTTTTGTTAGAGCAACACAATATAGACTAAGGTAGGGACTATATTTAGCTAACTGTGACTATGTGACTAGATTTTGGTAAACAGAATGAGCAGAAGTGACTCATGTAATTTAAAATGATTTGCCATGGACTTCATTCCCCCATTTCTGCTGGTTGGGAATCAGTGGCAAGTACAGAGCCAACTGGTCAACCTGGATTTGTGGATTACTTTATGAACTTGCTCATTTGCCTTTGAACTGTTGAACTTGAGAAGAATAAACTTCTACCTTATTTCAGAAACAAGAGTTTTTGTATATCCCTCTTATAGCAGCTTATTCTATTTCCTAATTAGTAATAACTTTATGTTTATCAATTCTTTTCCTGATAAAGCCCCACCAAGAATCTTCAACCCACTAAATGATTTGGATATTTTAAGAAAACTTAAAAGCCCCATTAATGTAATTAAGTAACATTTATTTTACATTAAGCAATTTTCAAAGAATACATTTAAAAACCATCTAGATATTGATTTTATAGCATTACAAAAAATTGAGAGGCACAATTGAAGTATTCAAATAAATTGTGAGGGGTAGAGGTGGGGGCCTATGATTGGTATTCATGTTGTTCCTTAGTCACTTAAAGACTCTTCCTATTAGAATCTTTACATGAGGCAGTAGTGCACTTTCATTTAGTAGGAATAAATCACATAAAATATATACTTTTATACAGAAAGTGTTATTGTATTGTCACTTTCAATTACTTATAAAAACTTCATTTTGAATTGCACAAATATTCCTCAAAACTGCTAATTCCCAGAAGATGGGTCTTAGAACTATGTGTCTAAATAATTCATTACAAATTAATTAGATTACCATTTCTCCATAGATAAAAAAACAATCCATGAAGAATTACATTATTAAAGTGGGACTTTTAAAATTTTTCATAGGAAAATAGGCTTACATATTTGTCCCTAGTTAGCTAAGCTTCCCCTCCTACTTTAAAACAAATCATAGGCTGTCCAGAGTTTTAAATCAGAGTACCTATACCACATGTATATGTTTACATTAATTCATTTTGTGTATCATTTTACTGTAGTATCAAATTATCAAAAAGGCACGTGGGTACATTCTTCAGAACAGTTTTGGTCTTTTTTTTTTTTTTAAATCACATGTTTATAAGCAGGGATTTCAATCATGTTTAAAAACAAAAATATTAAACAAATTCATCTCAATCCAGGTGATACAGAATCCATGAAATCTCTGCAGGCACTTCACTTCCCATAGAATTTCTTGTTGAGCAAGTAGATGAGAAGATTTACATTCACTTTAACCTTATCAAACATTTTCATCACAGCCACGCCTTCATATTGCATTTGAAGTAAGTCCTGGAATTGGGAGGAATATCATTAAACCTTAATTTTGACATTTTGCACATTTTAAAAATATATTAGAAGTATTTGGTAACAAATATAAAACTCAACTGATATAATGACCTAAACTTGAGCATGCATCAGAATTACCTGGTTAAAAACATAGGCTAACTAAAACTTATACTTCTGGATCCCTTCCTCAGGATTTCATGGGTTTGCAGCTCTGAGGTAAGGTCTACAAATCTGCATTTTAACAAGTTGTCAAGTGATGGTGATAATAATGGTCAAGACACCACATTTTGAGAATTACTGATGAAAGAAAACAGGTTTTTAAAATACAAGGACTCTGAGAAAATGATTATCATTACGTTAACATCAGATATATAGTCATAATTTCAATTTTTTTCAGTACTAGGGATTGAATGTAACCACATTGTACCACTGAGCTATATCTCTAGTCTTTTTTTTTAAATTTTTTTTTTAGTTATAGATGGACACAATAAGAGTTGGCAGCCATTATGAAGACAAACAACAAGTGCTGGCGAGGATGCAGGGAAAAAGGTACACTTATACACTGTTGGTGGGATTGCAAATTGGTGCAGCCAATTTGGAAAGCAGTATGGAGATTCCTTGGAAAACTGGGAATGGAACCGCCATTTGACCCAGCTATACCTCATCTCAGATTATACCCAAAGAACCTAAAAACAGCATATTACAGGGACACAGCCACATCAATGTTTACAGCAGCACAATTCACAGTAGCTAAACTGTGGAGCCAACCTAGATGTCCTTTAGTGGATGAATGGATAAAAAAATGTGGCATTTATACACAATGGAATATTACTCAGCAATAAAAAGAATAAGATCATGACATTTGCAGGGAAATGGATGAAATTGGAAAATATCATGCTAAGCAAAGTAAGCCAATCCCAAAAAACCAAAGGCCGAATGTTCTATCTGATGGGAAAAATGGAGGAACTTTGATTGGGCAAAGGGGAAAGAGGAGAAGAGAGGGGGCATAGGGGCAGGAAAGATGGTGGAATGTGATGGACATATTACCCTAGGTACATGTATGACTGCACATATGGTGTAATGTTACACTGTGTACAGAGAAATGAAAAGTTGTGCTGCAATTGTGTACAAAAATCAAAATGCATTCTGCTGTCATATATACCTAATGAAAAATAAAAATAAAATAAAAATAACCCAAACATCTGGATCTCATCAGCCATGTATGAGACTAAGTGATAACATTGCCCAATAATACAGGACAAGTAGCTTTTCACAAACAGAAGACATTTCTGAACTGCCTTGGACAAATACCTAGGTCTTAATTTCTTGCTCTTAGTTCTGGAATTGTTTTTTATTCTTAATAATGCCTGGGGACTCTATTATGCAAGACCATCTGCAGAGGTTGGAACCATCTTTGAAGGAACTTTGGCTATTGCCAGCTTCCTCCTCCACTTCCTCAATTACCTCCAACTATACTCAACTACATCCCTACGTCATTTAGATATACTTCTGGGACTGAAATTCCACAGCAACTGAAGTCCTTTTAACAAGAATGCTTTTATCCATTAGGGTGTAGACGATGCTCAGTTTCCCTCTGGGTAATACGATATCTGTTAATCAAATTCTCTTGGAAAAGTATTGAGCCAACTTGATTAGGTTGAGAAGGAAGGGTGTATGTTGGGGGAATTAGCTGGGACCCTAAAGTCAGAAGCAGAGAAAACATGGCAAAACTTTTAGTGTTGATCCTACCATTTGCTATTGCAGCATCCTGCAACATCAACTGACTCATAAAAGTTCTGTCTTGTGTGTGCATTGAGGACGGCCATGCCAACATCATTGATGTGCTAGTAGGCAGTGGACTAGCACATCTGCAAGCCCTTTATGAACTCTCTCTGTCTCATTGAGATTAACCAAAATCTTGTGAGAGAGGCAGTGGAGAAGAGCTTGGATCCCACTTGCCTTTTCCATAAAAAGCCCTCTGTTTTTCATCTGGGAGAGGAGGAATTCCTACCCTGAAGCTCCTGATAGACACTGAACTTAAGTAAGCAGTACATCTGCCATTGAAGTCACAGTCTCCTCTTGTGTATATGGCCCACAGTTACAGGATATCATTATGTCCTATGGTTTGTTTGTTGTTGTTTTTTTTTTTTTTGGGGGGGGGGGGGGGGGAATTAAAGCGAGACTGGACTGAAGATGACCTAGAAACAAAGAGTTGTAATGTTAGAAGGGCCCTGCCTTAGAAATTCAGAAACTTCTCTCCAGTTCACAGTCTAAGACTCAGCCATCAAGTTTTTTCTTTGCTAATTTACACATTCATGTGATTATCTGAAAGCTACCTATGTAAATAGAAGCCTGACTTCACTTTTACAGTACTTATGTGCTGGGCTGGTTCCACAGCCATGTGATCTTTGCAGTTGTACAGGGTTCCATGCTCAGAAGGGCCATGTACCTCATTTCATGCTCTGTTGCTGTCATCCTAAAATCTTGCATATTTTAGACAAGGAACCTGAATGTTTATTTTTTCACTGACCCCTGAAAATTATGTAGCTAGTTCCAATTGTATGTTAATGAAAAACATCTGGGGGCACATTGATCACTTGCCTATAGTGAAGGAGTAACATTTTACAATGAATTATGTGTATAAAGGAATGGTGTGAGTAGCTAGTCTTATTGTATTCTGAATCCTTAATAAAGAAGCAAATAAAGTTTGGTTTTTGTACCAATACAGAGTAAGTCCCAGGAATTCCTGAGGTCTCTCTAAATACAACAGAAAGTGTCTCCTTGTCACCTTTGATTCATCTGTCCAGTTGATACTGATTGGCCTTGGGTCATTTTCTTCCTGGGAACCACATGTGTCTTTGCTATTTCTAAAGACCAAGGTGTATCACAGTCACATTGTTTTTTTCTTCCTTATTTATTTGTTACATAAAGTTACTAAAAACTCTCATTAACTGAATTGCTAAATGAATACATTTAGATATACTTAAAATAAGTTAGAAAACAATACCATTTACTAACATATATCTTACATAATTACACATCATCTTTCATTTTTCTTGCTCAACCGATTCACTCCCTTATCTCAGTATCCTTATCAAACCCATTTAGCTCCCATTTTTCTTTTTCAACTCACAAGGCCTGCTAGACAGAAAAGAAGAGCTCTGGCACATGCTCCCGTGAGGGGGAGGTAATTTCAGGGTACGTGAGCCATGAGCCAAGTAGGCAGTGAAGCCAACTGACATCACTCGCATGGGCTCAGTGATGACTCACACAGATCTATACAGAGGACCTGGAAACCATTTTACAGGTATCTTGAGGTTCAGATGAATAAGAATTATTTTAAAAAGTGTTATATCAAAAAGAAAAACTCAATTTCTTTAAACTGATCTTGTGCCCCGCCACACCCCCACACTAGTTTTCTTTTTCACATAAATTTGGTGTGTTTGTGTCTTTTAATGAGAAAACTGATAATTCATTTTGAGAACAATGTTTTTCTATCTATAGGTTTGTGCTCTGGATAATGTCTTTCATTCTTGTGATCCAAAACATTTAATAAATACATTTAAGAAGTAGATATAGGGGCTGGGGCTGTAGCTCAGTGTCAGAGTGCTTGCCTAATATGTGTGAGGCACTGGGTTCGATCCTTAGCACTGTTTAAAAATAAGTAAACAAATAAAAATAATTTTAAGAAATGGATGAAAAAACTATTCTAGGAAAGAGAAAGAAAAGAAGGAAAAATGGGATCAGTTAAGTTCCAATCTTGGGTATACAGTCTTAGAATTCCATGTTTCCAACAAAAGAAAATGTTTTGGCCTTTATTTAATATCTCTGAATTATTTTACTATATATATATATTTTGTCTAAGCCCCAAATTAGAGAGATGGTTTAGAAAAACTAACTGCTACAATTTACCACATAAAAGCATTTTAAGTTTCAATAATTTTGAGGCTGGGGTTGTGGCTTAGTGGTAGAGCACTTGCCTAGCATGTGTGAGGCACTGGGTTCGATTCTCAGCACCACATATAAATAAATAAAATAAAGGTATATTGACAACTAAAAAAAATATATATTAAAAAAGTTTCAATAATTTGAAAAAGCCCAGCTTTTAAAAATCAATCACACTTAAAAAAATGAAAACTGACAAATGAGGCATGCACTGGTCATCTGTAAACTTCATTATTGTCATGAAAGTACTAGCTGTGGAGCTATGATGTCCTTCATATAAAAGTCAACCCCAATTTGCAGAAATCCCAGCTCACCTGAATATTGAGCTGCACTTTTTCCATTTCAACACCAAGGAACTTTGATCTGACATCAAATATGCCCACATCTTCCGTAGCTAAGATATCGAATACAACATTCTTAAACCTAGTGAAGAAAGGAACATTCACACATATGGAATTACAAATACACCCTTAAAGACGAAACAAACAAACGGAATCCTAATTAACACTTAGTGAATGATTTGTTGTGAAAATTCTGTCGCCAAAATTCTCACATTATCTTTATCTACTCTGCACAACAAAGACTAGATCTAATGTCTGCTGTTGAAATCTTTGGCTCACAGAGACTAAAATAGTTGCTTTATTACAAAAGAGATGGAAGAAATGGTCCTTGATTCTGAGGAACAAAGTATAGTTGAAAATATATGAGTCACAGAACATAAGAATTATATATTGACCTCTTCTGTTTTCAGAGCAGCCATCAGTATTTCAGATGGCAATTTTTGTAGAAGCTTCAAAAGAGGAAGAAGCATCTTGTCTGTTTGTGAAGTTAAAAGATTTCCTAGGATTAACAGACTAGAAGCAAGGCCTTTAGGGGAGGTGGAAATTAGAGACATGGTAAATGCCAGTGAGTCTGACTTCCCTTGAAACAAAAGTTGAGGGAGAGATGGGGCACTAGGCCCATGAACCTTCCAAAAAAAGAGTCACTTGGTACATGCTGTGGGCTGTGGAGGAATAGAGTTTGTCTTTTCCTCCACCTGGATTGCATACATTCTCAGCACACTGTTGGAAGTAGCTCTGACCCAGGATTTTACACGGTCCGTGGCTTTGAAATTAGAAAGGCCCTGTTTCACAATTATAGACAACTCATCTATCAAGACCAAAAGACAGCCTTTCATGTTCATTGCTATGACTCAGTTCTTTTGGAGGATTCAGGGAAACTTGCAAATCTAAATGTATTGGTCAAGCCACAGGAAACACAACCTTTCCATCTGTACTTCATATCACCCACCAACAGCACTAGACACTGAAGGCCTGAGGGAAGATTAATGACAATATTATGAGTGTTCTTCCCATAAACTATAACCAAGGGTCAGCCTTGAGAGACCAACAATGAAGCTTTCTTAAAGGCCAAGGAAGCCAAAGAAATGTTAAGTAAGATACTGTGCGAGTGGATGGCACGTATGTTCCATGCAGATGCCAGGCCATACTTACTGGTTTGTCTGAAGGTCATCTATCCCCAGCAGGACACCTTTCTCGTGTAGCTTTGCTGCAGTGTATCTCACTGGCTTTGCTCTCTTCATCCCTTTGGGTTCTCCTTTTCCATCCAGTTTAATTGATCTCCGACTATTTCTGACAAAATAAGGACAGACCACCTGTTGTCTTGATGTTTCTGGTAGTACAATAGTCATGCCCAGAGTGACACCATTGCTCACACCTAGCACACATTGTGCTTAATGTGCCTATTATATTGTTACCTACTATAATGACCTTTTCATGTCGTTATAGTAGGTAACAATTTTCCCCATGCAGTAAAACCTCACCACTGAACTGTTTGCAGAAAGGGGTTTCCCAAGGGACTCAAGTTTATGTTACAGACTAATATTTTTAATGAAATTTACACCCTATGTTGTCACATGGAGTTAACTGTCTATTTTAAGTCATTTTTTATAAGCAGCTTTGGTGCAATAGCATGAACTGTGTATTCTTAAGTGAAAGTATTACTAGAAGGCTTCAATCTATTTAATAGATACTCTGTGGCTGGTTCTATTCTAAGTGTTTTATAAATATCACCTAGCATTTACAAAATTAACACTTCCACAGGGCTTTCAAATTAATAAGTTCCTTTGCCATATATTATTTTATTTTGCTCTCATAGCAATACTTGAGACTGGTACTCCTGGAACCATCTTAAAATAGGAAACTTGAGGGTCACAGAAGTTCACTGGTCTGGTTTCAAGATCATACAATGTGGGCTGGGGTTGTGGCTCAGCGGTAGAACACTCGCCTTGCACATGCGAAACCCTAGGCTCGTTCCTCAGCACCACAAAAAAATAAATAAGTGAAATAAAGTTGTTTTTTTTTAATAAAAAAAGATCATACAATGTAAGAGAGAATCAGAACTGATGTCCAGATGGTTTGACTACAGAGCTTATGGAAAACACCTTAAAGTAACCATAATAACTATGAAAAGCAAACTGCTAACAATCTCATTTCTACTGAAAATTAGCTTGACCAACTTCTTCCTAGATAGGAAAAAAAAAAGTATATATATATATATATATATATAAAAAAGTATATATATATATATATATATATATATTACAATCCACAAGCAAATTAATTACAATTGAGAAGTAGTAGGCCCCAAATAAAGAGGTTTACATTGGTTATTTCCTTTCATTAAATCTTTTATGATTAACATAACTGATTTTTTCCATACTGTATCATTTGCTACTGCTAATTTGACGACTAGGGCTTTATGAAGATATTGCATTACATATTTAAATGGGTATTTAAAATTTTATTTGCATTGACCTAGACTAGTGATGATAATTATGAGCAAAGAATAATTCACTAAAAGTGGCTATATAGTGCATAAAAATCTATAATAGGTATGCTAATGGATAACAGAGAGGTGCCAAAGTTTGCCCATTGTGTCAATATTGATTTTTTAAAACCACTAAGCAATTTTCAATCATTATGCTGCTTTGTGCGATTAGCAAATATTTGGCATTATCTAATATTATCACATATATAAAATCCTGTTTATAATGAATATTCCAAAAACAAGAGTAATATAATGTACACACACATACACACACAAATACGAATATATACAAGAATAGTTGTTTTTAGAATACTTATTATGTGTATGTGTGTATTTATTCATTTATTTTTACAGTACTAGGGATTGAATCCAGCTGTACTGTACTACCAAGATACATCTCCAGTCCTTTGTATTTTGTTTTGAGACAGGGTTTAAGTTGCCCAGGTTGGCCTTGAGCTTGTCATTCTCCTGCCTCAGTGTTCTGAGTATCTGGGATTATAGGTATGCACCACCATTCTTGGAGATATATATATATGTTGTAGTTGGACACAATACCTTTATCTTATTTATTTTTATGTGGAGCTGAGGATCGAACCTAGCACTTTGCATGTGCTAGATAAGCACTCTTCCGCTGAGCCACAATCTCAGCCCCCCTTCTCTGCTATATATTTTATAATAGTGTTTTAAAAGCATCACAAAAGACAAAGAGAATAATGAAAGTTCTTCCCCAGATGATAATGCCATTTGCTTAAAAAACAACAGGGTTAGCTTTAATTCCAATGCTGATAGAGAATTAAAAAAGCTGAATTCATTCCTGACTTCTTAGGTCATAGAGGCCAAAAATGAAATTGATACTTCACGTTTTGGATATAAAATAGAGTAAGTTTGCCACCCAACCCAAGCTATCAGGATTGTAGTTTCTCCACATAAATCATGACATTACAAATGAATATGACATGATTTTAACTTACTTCCTTTTCAAGTTGTCTAAACAAGTCTTTATGTAGGTGTCATAATAATTAATTTGCTCTTCATAAAATGCTGCCTTCTGATTGAGCGCATTCAGGGTCTGTTGAAGTTTTGCCAATTCAGCTTTTCGTAGCTTACGATAGATTCTTTGATTTAGAATATCCTAAAATGACAGATACAGGCTATAATAGTATGTTGAAGCACAAATTGCTTTATGAGATCATCAGTTTGGACAAGAACAAGAAGTCACTCTTTGCAATTGTTAACTTGTTTATCTCACGCAACTTATTTTATTATTATCTAAACAACAGAGCATTCTCATCCCTCAGAACAAGAAAGTGTCCATATTTTACTCTAAGAGACTTGTCAAGGTCTCTCTTTCTCATGATAGAAAAACAAAAGAAGAAATAATCACACAATTCTTTTAAGGCAAAACAATGTTTTAAAAGGGGCAGAAAGAAAATCTTAGTAGGAATTGTGATTCCTTCAGACTATTTTGAATTTTCTTCTTTGAGGATTATTTTCAACTGAAATACTTCTCATTTAATTGTTGAATTCATTTTAGTAATAAGTAAAAAAAAAAAAAACATTTTTCATCTGGCAAATACTTCTCAAGCTTTGAAAAAAACAACCCCTTGGCCCTCAAAACTGATTGAGAAGATTCAACATTGATAAAGTCAGCCTTGCATATCTGTGAGTTTCAAATCTATGAATTCAACCCAAGACAGATAAAAAATATTTAGGGGAAAAACAACAATAACAAAAAAAAAATTGTGCCTGTACTGAACATGTATAGATATTTTTCTTGTTATTATTCCCTAAACAGTACAATATAACTCATATTACATAGCATTTACATTGTATTAGCTATTATAAATAATCATGACATTTTGTGTAAGGAACATAAGCATCTGGAGATTTTGGTTATCAGTGAGAAGTCCTAGAAGCAACCCTCTAAAAATACTGACAAATGACTGCACTTGGATTTAAATAGAATTCCTAGAACATAAAGTTGAGTAAAGTTGCTTATAATTTGTGCTAAATTTAAACTTATAGATTTAAGTAGATATAAAGGTTTTTAAATTGTTTTTACAATTCTAACTGGCAAATTCTGAAGATGTTTTATTCATTTAATATTATTTTCCCTTTCTGAACCAAATTAAAATGCATTCCCCTAGGAATTCAGATACCTTCCATTCTTAAATAAAAATTCTTCACTAAATAGCATATTTTGGTAGATGTCTTCATGACAGTGTTTTTCTTTTGAAGTAAAAGCATTGATTTCTTCTCTACTTCATATTTGGAAATATGCAGTAGAGAAATACTTTCCATCCCAAAGCTGTAGAAAGAAATGCTACTTCTCTTTGGTCACTCAGTCTAGGAGGAATAAGCTTACTGCTACAAGTGACCATAATTTTCCACTACAGAAGAACTTTGTGTGCATTTTCCTTCCAGAGGTGAAAAAGCTATTTTTTAAAAATGATCATTTTTAACTGCCTTTAACTTCTAGACTCATATTAATTTGCATGTTTGAATAAAAAGAAAGAAATGTACTTTTTGCCCCAGTATATACTTTTTTTTTTGGTATATACTTCCTTATCCTTGACAAGCAGACCTCAGTCACTTCCTGTGATGTTTCCTTGCACTAAGTTGAGATCCTTTTCTCAGGAAGTTTCTCATGTGTAAAAATGTGAGCTGAGAAAACAAAAACAAACTTTTAAGTTTGAGTTGCATCTAAGCTAAACTGCTTGAAAAGATATGCTCAGGGACAGAGTAACCTAACCCATCTTGATGGAAGCTTCTAAAAACAGTTGGGAGTAATATATTATATTGATAACTAACAACTCAAAAGCAAGTTCTCCTAAAAATATCATTGAAAAAAAAATATATAGGTACTACTTAAAGGTATTGACCTAATTTGTCTGTTTTATCTCCTGAGCATTTATTTCTGGCTTGTTTCAACTCTCCTAGCTTAGAGGAGTTGTGGCTATTCTCCCACTAACAGTCATCAACTGCTCTGAAGTTGTAAAAAATCAGCAATATTGAGGAAAGTAGGAGTCATGGATATGCAACCATGAAGCTCTCATGTCATTTCACAGGGTGCCCAGTATGTGACTAATGATTAGCAAATGTCTGTTAAATGAAAAAGGAAGAATACTGTTTCTAAAAACCTTGGCAATCTCATTGAGGATGTCTTGGTATTTATTTTTGGATGACACAAGTGCATTCTGCTCCAAAGTTCGAAGATTTCTTTGGATTTTCCTCTTCTTCTGCTCAAGAGGCAGCTGAGCATCTTCAATCATTGATTGGTTATGCTTCATTTCTTCTGGAGTCCTGGAGTCTATAATTGCCCGGCTCACCATGTCTTTGTTATGATCTATTTCCTGAAGAGGGAATATCAAGAGGTCAATTTTTCTCTAATTTCCTAACTTCACAGATTTAGTAGCTAGACAAGGCAAATTTATGTTAAAATGAGAGCAGTCCTCAAACCAAGCCCAAAGACTAGCACCAGGACATGTTCTTTATGGTTTTGAAGTAGGACCTTGGAAGGAATTATTCCTTTTTTTAAAAAAATAACACAGTAGTGATGTCAGGCCTAATTTGAGCAAAATTCCAAGCTACTTTATTGCCAAGGTGACAAATCACTTAAGTAATGAACATGTTTTAATGGATATTTTTGGTAGATGCCTTCATGATAGTGATATTTTGTAATGCCCTGGATAGAAGTAATTATATAATCCAGTTGAAAAAATTAAAACTAGATTATCTATTAAAATATGTAGAACCCTGAAAGTATAGAGCCAACTAAACTCTCACGTACCATTCATATTTTATGAAGATCCTTAAGCCAAGCCAATAGCAAGGCAGTAAGAAAGTTTCATTCTGATAACAGATTCACTCTTTAGCTGCAAGCACTGAAATGTCTATAGGGTTTCTTTAAACCAAAGGGAATAAAGATATTCTATAGCATACAATAAATTCCTGAATAAATGAGGACATGAATGAACACTATCTAGTTTGTTCAATAAAACAGTAATAAAAAGAGACTGGTGATCCTCCATTTTCATTGTACAAGGTAACTGAGTGACCCAGATGAATTCTGTGGATATGATTATTATCAGCAAGACACAGTAATGTTAAACACAGGACACACAGGTGAACATTGTGGAAACAGAAAGTTTACCAGAACTATCTTCCTAGTGTAGGATAAAATTACATTCAGTATGAATTTGATGCTACACTTACACTTTCTATTTGATTACCATTAATATTCCACATGGGTTTTATATATGGTTGAGCTCAGATAACAGATACAATTCCTTATTTCCAGGCCATGTCAGACAGTTTCTCCCAGGTAACAGTAAACATTTGGCATGAAGATTTGTTAAATTCAACTCTTATGGATTATATTTATTATTTATACTTAAATGCAAAGTACCTGCTGTTCAGTTGCTGGTGTCTCTAAGATTTCAGTCAATGTGCTCCCTGGCTGGTTCCGGATCACATCAATAACTAGCTTTTTAGTCCTTAAAAAGAGAAAAAGAAGAGACAGACTTTCAGACCGTGGTCCTGATGCACAAAAATCTGCTGCTTCCACATGAATGCACAAACATGTACACGAAGCTTCAAAGATAATTCCTTAAAACAAAACATTCTTTTAGAAAGTTCTATTTTAAGGCTCCCCAAAGTTTGTGAATGCTTATTAATCAAAGTCTAGGTCTTATATGCTTGATGCTAAAGGATTAAGAGATATGCAAAAGTTTCCTTATCTAAGTACTTTTTCCTCTTTTTCGACAGAGAACACCTTTTGATGACTAGCAGGGACAAGTGCTGTCAGTATGACTTACTACTACAGAAGGATAGTTTAAGAAGTGCTAGTTCCCTTTCCTAACTTTAGCAGCATTTAAACTTCTGAGCCCATTAATATACCATAAAACCTTCGAAGACAACAGCTATTTTTCTGCTATGAAAAAGTTATGAAACTGTTTGAAGACTGCTGGGAGCAGAAGTTCTATGTGGCTGGTAGAAACTTTGATAGCAGCTAGGAGGATGCTGATGAACTAGCAAAAATAGTTTGGGTTCTTGTTTTTAGGTGGAAGAGAAGAGGAGAGCTACTCTGTGCAAGTTCAGAGCTAGAAAATCCCTTTGGAAGTTTCTAAAACCATGTGTTCTTCTGTACATATTCTTTATGGCAATCAGCCATCCCCTTCTAATTAGGCATCAGGTTATGTAATTGTGTCAAAATATTTTTTAAAAAATCTTTTTCTATAAATATGTATATATACATAGACATATATGATATATGTCAAAATATTTTTACAGAACAGGTAAATGGTCAAGTTGGCTCATGATGAACAATAATATTATTGGAAATAACCTCCCTTCCAAAAGAAGGAAGGAAGGAAACAAACAGAAGTTGCCTTAAACTACAAATAGGTCAGGGATAAAGTTTGCTTTTATTGTACTTGTACTTAATTTTAGTTCTGTCAAAAAATAGAATTCTTCCTTAATAAGAGCAGGAAACGTTCACATAGCATGAAAACTGGAAACGAAAATAAAATGTTCACATTTTGAAGCATATGGGAAACTGTTCCCAAAAGACTCCTTAAAATAAGAGTTTTGAAAATGAGATAAAATCTAATAAGTCATCTGTAAACACGATTTTTTCTCATTTCCTATTTACAGCAAGTCTTCATGAGAAGAGCCATCACAATGCAGCTGCCTTTCCTCCCTTCTCCCCTGCCTCTGGAGAACCATTTCCTCTGCCCTCATGACCCTTCGCTGCTGGGGATTTTCAGGCTGTCTGGGAATGCACAGCTCAAAACTCCACTGAGAGTCAAAGGTGGGCACACAACTAATTATAGCCACATGAGACACGGCACAGCTCCTAGGTGGCTGCAGCTTAGGAGGCCGTGTTTCCTTTCCTCCACTTCCACCTCCCACCTCATCAGAAATAAATTAAACAGAAAGATTTAGCTAAAAATAAAACTTTGGATGATTTAAAAAATGTTAACTGTGACTATACCCTATTTGAAATTTTCTAGACTACTTATGATATATATTCCTAGGAAATTCCTAGCTCATCTTCTTTAGAGAAGCTGTCTAATGATCAAGCAAGTGGGGTTACTTACACATGTCCTGCCTGGGGCAAAGAATGTTTATTTGTTCAGGAGTAGCTGGAGGACAAATTGGCGACAAAACCTATTTCTCTTGGAATTCTACTTTACATCAGACCCATGGAATTCATTGCCAAAATTCCACCCTAGACTCCTATATCCAAATAACCACTAGTCTCAGGACAGGGAATTCAGCTCCCTCTCCCACTGTATGTCTAAGGGTTAAGGACACTGGGGTCAGAGAGACCTGGGGCCAGCCACATCTGGGCTCCCGTTACATGCCAGCTGTATGAACTTATGCAAGTTATAAAACCCCTGCTTTTTAAAAAAATTTATTTCCAGAAATCTCTCTTGAGAACGGATACAAGGATTGAACAAAAAGATGTCACATAAAGCCTTATACTGGGGTCTGGCACTTACAGGTCATTACGGTCAAGAAAGGCATGCTGCCAAGATGGCAGCCACTTGCCATAGTGGCAAGTGATCACTTGAAACATGATGCCTAACCCAAATTGAGATGTGCTGTGAGTTCAGGACACAAAGCAGAGTTTGAAGAAAAAGTATGAAAGAAAGACTCGACAATATTTCATTAACATTTTTTTACAGTAATTACCTATTGAAATAAAATAGTTTTGATATGCTGGGTTAAATAAAATATACTAATAGAAATAATTTCTACTCAAAACACAAAGAAATGATATGTGTGAGGTGATTGATATGCCAATTATCCTGACCTGATCATTACATGTCATATACATGGCTTGGAATGTCAAAGTATACTCCATAAATATGTATAATTACCATGTATCAATTTAAAAAATCATAAAATAAAACTGGAAAAAATATTCCACATGCTTCTTTTTAAAATGTGGCTTCTAGTAAATTTAAAATTACATGTGTGGCTCATATTAAATTTCTTTTGGAAAGTGCAGCTTTGGAACATTCCATTCTTCAACAGGAAGCTAGCACTCTGAGAGGCCCACTCCCTGGATCTGGTTAGTCATAGGACTTTAGTGCCTGGGAACCTTTGGGAAATAATCCACTGACTGATGTTACAAATGTAACAAAGACAAAGAGGTTTAATGGGTAAAGTTCTCACCCTGCTTTCAAGTGTTGCATAAAACAAGGCAAATTCCCTTCTCATATCATCAGCTCCTCACCACCATAGACTTGTAGAGAGATACTGGGACTGTGCCTTGGTGTCCTGTATCCTTATACACCCTCTATGTTTTTTTGTTTGTTTTTGTGTGTGTGTCTGTGTATGTGTGTGATGTGAATCAAACTCAGGGCTTCATGTATGCTAAGCACGTGTTCTACCATGGAATACCCTAGCACCCTGGACCCTCTCTTTTAGCACCTTTCCCAATAAAATCCCCTTGGTCCTTAAATCTCTCCATAATAGGATCTAGAGAGAGTTACAGTCTAATTCACATTTTAGCTGCCAACACCCTTTTTAAGATGAGTTGCCCTTCTCACCCCAGTGCAAACACAAAATTCTAGATATGTCTGACCAGCATAAGTCCACTGGTGAAGTACTGGTCCCATGACTGTTTAATCTGCAAGACAGGCTCATCCAAACCAAGAGCCCTGCCTTTACTGAATGAGGTCTCTAACTCTAAGAATTAAAATAAATGTAATACACCAGGGAATTTATTCACCATAGCTATGTTCACAGCCCAGTGTCAGTAAATGAGATCAAATGGCAATTTAAAATTGGTGCAGCTCCTTGGGCTTGGCTACTCTATTCATATGGTATCTATTACTACACTCTGAGCCATTCCCTCTGTAATCTGCCTTATAGTGTACCCAATGTTGAAAAGGAATTTGTGTTTGTGGAAGCTAAGGATTATTTCTGGTTGTTGAAAACTCTAATGACATCATTATACATTTTTAGCACCAGACCTCAAACATCACCTTAGCCATTGAGTGCTCCTGTCAGTTTGAACCAAAACTAAAGAAATCTTTTGTGTGGGAAAATGAATCTCTAAACTGAATCATGTGAAAGGAGAAAAATTCTTAAGAAATGACAACTTAATTACTTGGGCAGAGTAGTATGATTAAAAACCACAAATATTGCCTTCTACTTAAACACACACATACTTTTATAGAAATACAAGCTTAATAAAGGGCAGAAGGGTCCCGTATTTTAAAATGAAACTTAACTTATAATGAGGGAGATTTATAATTTTATTATTCTTTATAATTTATAGGATGTTAATTAATATAGGATTTCATATGAAGCTTATAGCTTTTCCCACCCATTTCCACTTAAGGATGGGGACACTGAGGGTTAGGCTATATGCTGGATCCCTTGGCCAACAAACAAGTGAAACATCAAGGCTGTAATGCTACCTCATCCTAGGACTCCTCCACCAGGCTTGTTTGTTTAATATCACCATGTGTATCAGCACTGGGAAAATGGCAAAAGCTAGCTGAGGTTCTCTATTTCATAAACTTGATGAAGGGAAAGAGAAATCAGTGTTTCTTCCTACTCCACTATGTGCCTTTTGTGTCTTTCAAGTCTATCAGACATTCCCTTTTGGCTTGGAAAGATGATCAGCATCAGTTATATAGAAATTGCCCTGTTATAATTCTCATTATTTATTCTAGAATCCCTAAGAGTGTAAAGAAGACATCAAGGAGTTGTAATACTTTGTGATCAAAGTTTAGGTTTGGAGGATTTAACACCATTAGGTTAAATCAGCTCCACTTCCTATTATATATATTACCCAGGAAAAGGTTTGTGAGAGCTGCCGCCCGCGCCTGCAAGATAAGCAGACCTGCGACAGACTGGCGGGTCAGGTCCAGCAGCCTGCCAACGTGGTACACACGTCACCCCAACTGGAGTAGGGGCAGAGCAGAGCCTTCGCTCGCGCCCGGATCAGGCCCCGCCGGTGTGGTGGTCACGTGACCCCAATTGGAATGGGGGCGGAGCGGAACCGCCACCCGTGCCCATAGGGTGAGCAGACCTGTGACCAACCTGCAGATCAGGTCCAGCGGTCCGCAGGCGTGGTAGGAGGGGCAGGGCAGAGCCGCCGCCCGGGCCTGCAAGGTTGGCAGACCTGCGACAGACCGGCGGATCAGGCCCAGCAGCCTGCCGGCGTGGTACACACGTCACCGCAATTGGAGTAGGGGCAGAGCAGAGCCACCACCCGTGCCCGAAAGGTGGGCAGACCTGCGACCGACCAGCGGGACAGGCCCAGTGGCCTGCCGGTGCGACAGACACGTCACCCCATTTGGAGTAGGGGCAGAGCAGAGCCGCCGCCCGCGCCTGCAGGGTAGGCAGACCTGCAACCGACCGGCGGATCAGGCCCGGTGGCCTGCCGGCATGGTACACTCGTCTCCCCAATTGGAGTAGGGGCAGAACAGAGCCGCCTCCTGCGCCCAGAATAGGCCCAGTGACCTGCCGG